GGGTTTGGGGTTTAGGGGTTTAGGGGTTAGGGTTTGGGGGTTTACAGGGTTTAGGGTTTAGGGTTTAGGGTTTAGGGGTTTATAGGGTTTAGGGGTTTAGGGTTCAGGGTTTAGGGTTTAGGGGTTTATAGGGCTTAGGGGGTTTAGGGTTCAGGGTTTAGGGGTTAGGGGGTTTGTAGGGTTCAGGAGGTTCAGGATTTAGGGTTTAGGGATTTAGGGGGTACCCTACCACCTGACACTCCGAGTAACCTTAAAGCCCCAGAAATCCTCAAGTGAAGCCGAAAGCTTTCGTGCGAAACCCGAAGCCCTCAACCCCGAAACAGGAAACCCTCACTAACCCTGAGCCCTAAACCCTAAACCCCTAAGCCATAAACCCCGAAACCCCTAAACCCTAGCCCTAAACCCTAAACCCCCTAAGCCCCCTAAACCCCTCCCCTAAACCCCCTAAACCCCCTAAACCCCCTAAACCCCCTAAACCCCTAAACCCCTAAACCCCTACACCCCTAAACCCCTAAACCCCTAAACCCCTAAACCCCCTAAACCCCTAAACCCCCTAAACCCCCTAAACCCCTAAAGCCCCTAAACCCGAAACCGCCTAAAACCCCTACCAGCTACGGCCCCAGAATGCAGGAGGCGCCGCCGCAGCCCAAGTCCGGGACTCTGCAGTCGCTGCTTGGCTGGGAATCAGATACGTGGAACGTAGGTACTTAGAACCTCAAGGGTGTAGGGTTTAGGGGTTAGGGATTATACATCTACTTATAACCTACTTAGGGGACTTAGGGGGGCCTTACAAGTACAGTTATAGTTGGGGTTGCAAGTACCCTGAACCTCCAAGTACCCTAAAGCCCTGAGGCTTACGGCTCGAAAATCCAAGGCTCAAGGCCCTGAGAACTGCACTGGAGCCAAAGGCTTCATTTAAGCTGGGCCATGTCAACCCAGAGGGTTAGGGTCCCTAAGCCCTACTGTAAACCCTAAACCCTAAACCCTAAACCCTAAACCCTTAAACCCTGTGTTATGACTAAACCCTAAGCCCACGGTTTTGGGCTGGGCAGAGGAGCACCAATGCCTCAGGGCTTGCACATGAAGCAGGGTTTACATTACCGTAGTTGGTGAGTGTGTACAGGGTTCCTTGTACATGTTTCTGAGTGTATATACTGGGGTTTCTTTCTGGGGATACTCACAACACAAGGACTGAGAGCTGCTTTTGGGGGGGATGTTCGATATCAACAATAGCATGAAGGCCTTCGAGCTGCGCCCGTGGTGTGCTTGAGATTTTTCGCTTGTTGTTCGGACCGCTCTTTTGAGGCTCCAGGGATATGAACCACATGAAGGCTACTTTGTAGGTTTTGTAGGGTCCGGGGTTTCGGGCTTGGGTGCTTCATGATCCGGAGTATATTTCTGAGGCTCATGCATGCAGCTCCGGCGTGCCTTGGTCGCGATGGGTACGCTGGAACACCTTAATCTCTGTCACGCCCAGAGCCACCCAGAACCTCCTTGGTAAAAGGTATTAGGCTCGAGCGTTTAAGGGTTTCAGGGTGTTAGAGTTTGTCCGGGGTCTTCGGGATCGTAGGACGTCAGCTGAGCAATCTGAAAGTGGACTTGTGCTCGCATTTCGCCATAGACGCGCTGCGCCCGCAACCCTGAAACCTGGCCCAGCGTACATGAAAGCGTACTTTGAAGGAGGTTCCTAAGAATGCCCACTTGCCAGACCGAACACGCGAATCAGCGCAACGGAACAAGCGCGCCCCACAGGGCCCACCACACCATTGTATGGTTGGGGAGAGGAACAAAGGGATTTAGGGTTTAGGGTTTAGGGTTTAGGGTTTAAGGTTTAGGGTTTAGGGTTTAGGGACAAACTTAAGCGCCAATAAAGGCCAAAGGCCAAACCATACAAAGCCCAAGAAGAACAACTTGAGCCGAAGACGTAATATGAGTCCAGGAGACCTTGGGGCCTCAGAATCAAAAGCCTCAAGTTAAGGGCCATGAATCGCCCAGGGTTTAGGGCTTAGGGTTTTTAAGGGTTTAGGGTTTTTAAGGGTTTAGGGTTTAGGGTTTAGAGTTCAGGGTTGAGGGTTTAGGGCTTGGGGCTTAGGGCTTAGGGCTTAAGGCCCAGTTTCTATAGGCGCCATGACCCGTGATTCTTTGCTCGAGTATATGATATATATATATATATATGCTACCCCCCCCCCCCCATGCGCCCACGCTTCAGCATGGTTTCCAGATAAAATACTAGGTTCCGCCCTGCGCGGTGGTTTTTAAAGGGGGAGGGACTCCCATAGAAACTCCAGCAGAAGTGACCTGAACAATTTGCTCGAAATTGTGGATTGCATGCCATGAATTTAATACAAATCCTATGCATGCGAATAGCGTTCCTATTAAATTTAATGGGGTTCATAGGATTCTTCAAATCTTATTAAAATGAAAAGGAAACCCGTTAACATGAATGAGAACCCTTAATTCGATTAAATTCTATGGGAACCCTATTCAAATGACAGAATCCTATTTAAAATTGATAGGAATCATATTACATTTGTAGGAGCCTTATTAAAATAATTAGGCAAACAATAAAAATTGATTGGAATCTTTTAAACAGAAAAATAGGAATCCTCTATTTAAATCCATAGGAACCCTATTAAAATTGATCGGACTGTATATAAAGTGAATAGGAAGCATATTAACATGAATAGGAACCCGAGTGGAGTTAATGAGAACCCAATTATACTTGATAGGATCCTAATAAACTGAAGAGGGCCCCTACTAAAATTTATAGGAACCAATGGGACTCTTATAAAAAAAGTGTGAACCCTTAAAGAATGGGAGTCCTACTAGAATTAATATAAGCCTAAACCAAAAGGAATCCCTTTCAAACGAATGAGATCCCTATTAAACATTGATACGAATCCCATTAACATGAGTGAGAGCCCTGAAACTGATAGGAATCTTAGTGCATTAGTGGGAGCCTTATTCAAATAATTAGGAACCCTATGAAACTTCATTGGCATCCTATGAAAATATGTAGGAATCTTTCATTGAAGTCATAGGAATCAAAGTTTCATAGGGTTTTTAATTATTCTCCTACTAATGTAATAAGATTCCTATCCATTTTCGGGTTCTTATTCATGTTAATGGGATTCGTATTGATTTGAATGGGGATCTCATTCGTTTGAAAGGGATTCCTATTGGTTTAGGCTCATATTCATTTAGTAGGATTCCTATTCATTCTTGTTAAAGGAATCTTATTTTTTCATAGGAGTCCTACTAGTTCATATTAATCTTAGTAAGAATCCTTCTCATTTTAGTATGATTCCTATGAATTACCACCGCGTTCTTTTTGATTTGTTAAGGTTCATTCTAATAGGCTTCCTCTTAGCTTTTATCCGAAACCAATTTGATAGATTGGAATCCTATAAAAATATATAGGAATCCTCTATTGAATTCATAGGAATCCTGCCAATATTTTTCGGAACCGATAAAAGTTAATAGGAAGTGTGCACATGGGTCTTGTCGTAGCATCAGGCATGCCGTCAAACATTAGAGTTTAGTTGCGAAAACGCTGCACTGTCCCAAAAAAACAAGCCTTTTCAGCCAAAAAGTGCAAAAATGCTGTGCTGTCCCAAAAAAACCAATCTTTTTAAGGCAAAACGTGTAAAAATGCTGTACTGTCCCAAAAAAACCAAAAAAACCAAAGTTTGGAGACCTTGGGCTCCTCCAGGGCCTGGAGGTCTCCAAACTTTGGTTTTTTTGGTTTTTTTGGGACAGTACAGCATTTTTGCAGTTTTTGGCCTAAAAACATTGGTTTTTTTGGGACGTTTTTGCAGTCCCAGGCCTCGAAAGTGCTGTACTGTCCCAAAAAAACCAATCTTTTTAAGGCAAAAAGTGCAAAAATGCTGTACTGTCCCAAAAAAACCAAAAGTTTGGAGACCTTGGGCTCCTCCAGGGCCTGGAGGTCTCCAAACTTTGGTTTTTTTGGTTTTTTGGGGACAGTACAGCATTTTTGCAGTTTTTGGCCTAAAAACATTGGTTTTTTTGGGACGTTTTTGCAGTCCCAGGCCTCGAAAGTGCTGTACTGTCCCAAAAAAACCAATCTTTTTAAGGCAAAAAGTGCAAAAATGCTGTACTGTTCCAAAAAAACCAAAAAAACCAAAGTTTGGAGACCTTGGGCTCCTCCAGGGCCTGGAGGTCTCCAAACTTTGGTTTTTTTGATTTTTTTGGGACAGTACAGCATTTTTGCAGTTTTTAGCCTAAAAACATTGGTTTTTTTTGGGACAGTGCAGCGTTTTTGCAGTCCCAGGCCTCGAAAGTGCTGTACTGTCCCAAAAAAACAAATCTTTTTAAGGCAAAAAGTGCAAAAATGCTGTACTGTTCCAAAAAAACCAAAAAAACCAAAGTTTGGAGACCTTGGGCTCCTCCAGGGCCTGGAGGTCTACAAACTTTGGTTTTTTACGCCCTACGCTCAAAGAGTCCAGCGGCTTCAGATGCACAGCGACAGCTTCGTGCACTCAACCGGCTTCCAAAGCAGGCAAACGCAGGCAGAGGCTCGGACGGTCGAAGACCGCAATGGAGGAGACCTGGGAACAGGACCGGGGTTCCTGGAAGGGGCGGGTTGCGGCACTCCTGCGCGCACACGGACGGACCTCGCAGCCTAAGAAAACCCCTGCCTGCCAACCTAAACCCTGAACCTCCACGGCGCCCGGCTCGCTGCGAAGACGAAGTCGAAGATAAACCTGGGCCGCGAGAAGGGGCCCGGGGTTTCCGGAAAAGAAAAGCAGGCGCAGGGCACTCTAGGTTACAGGGAGGGCGGGGCAAGCGACTGCGCAGGACACTCTTGCAGACAGACTCACAAACCCCAACCCTTCCAAAATCAAAGAACCCCCGTCAGGCTCGGCGCGGCGCGCCAGCGAAGACGGTCCGACCTGAAGAGAAGGGTTAGGGTCGGCCTCTAGATTTACAGGCTTTTCGCTCAGCGACCGGAAACCCTACTCAAACCAGGACTCCTGGAGATGTCACTCCGCGTTCATGTCTCGCTTTTGAGCGGGCGTGATGTGACCCTGGAGGCGGCCGAAGGGGATTCTTCGGAAACGTTGGCCCAGCGCGCACAGACCGCGCTGGGGGTCGGAAAGGGCCGGTTGCGAGGCCCCAGCGGCGAAGTTTCGCCGAAGCGCCCTCGACTGCAGGAAGGCGACGCACTGACCCTGGAAGTCGTTCAGACGCGCGTGACTGCCAACAGCCGCGCTTTTGCAGCCATCTTGGGAGATGGCGCGGTCCAGACCTATGGCGACCCAGATGTCGGCGGAGACTCCCGCGCCGTGCAGGACCAGCTCAGAAGCGCGCACGAGATCGCGGCGAACGACATGTGCTTCGCCGCAATCCTCGACGATGGCTCGGTGGTGACCTGGGGAGAACCCCGCGAGGGCGGGGACAGCAGCGCCGTCCAGGAGCAGCTGAAGAACGTGACGCAGATCGCCAAAAACAGGTCAGCTTTTGCCGCCATCCGCGCGGATGGCTCGGTGGTCACCTGGGAATCGCCGGTGAGGGCGGCAGCGGGGACAGCCGCGAAGTACAGGCGCGGTTGCAGGATGTGCAGCACATCACAAGTGCGGCGTGCTCCTTCGCCGCCCTCCGGGCAGATGGCTCGGTGGTCACCTGGGGAGACGCCGATGATGGCGGGGACAGCAGCGCCGTCCAGGAGCAGCTTCAGAACGTCTCGCAGATTGAGGCAAATAGTCATGCCTACGCGGCTATCCGAACGGATGGAACAGTGGTCACCTGGCAGCCTCGGCCATGCGGTGGGGACAGCAGCGCCGTCCAGGACCAGCTGAGAGGTGTGGTGTCTGTCCACGCTACAGAGGCCGCCTTTGCCGCCCTGAGAGCGGACGGAAGCGTCGTGACCTGGGGCCTCAAAGATTATGGCGGTGATTGCAGCGGGCTTCAGCTCAAGAACGTGCTCCACATCCGGGGGTTCGCGGACACATTCCAGGCCACCACGAAGGAGGATGGCTTGGTGGCATGGGGCGGCCGCCCCGATGAGTTCGTTGATCCTTCCACATCCGACCAGGTTGTGTGCACGCTTGGAGCTTCTGCAGCCATTCTCCCCGACGGCACCGTTCGCGCTTGGGGCGACCCGGATTGCGGAGGGGATATTACAGCGGTGAAGGATCAGCTTAAGAACATCGTGTGTCTCGAGGCGAGCTTCGGCTCATTTGCGGCCGTGCGGAGTGATGGAACGGTGGTTTGCTGGGGAGAGGAGTTTCAGTGACACTCGCGCTTTCCGCTTATGAAAGGCCTTCTCCTGCCGTTGTTGCATGTGTCAGCGTGTGTCTTTGCGTTTGCCCACTGTGATCTAGAGTGGTCGGCGCCTCCCTTTTTCCCGGTAACCCCCAGCCCCGCCTTGTCGCTCAGGTCTCGCTTCTTTACCATCGCCATCTTCGCCTGCGCCGGGGGCTCTGCAGTGCTGCAGGCTTTGAGCTTCGTGATGCGTAGAAGCATGGGACGACCCAGGTAGGAGCTCCCCCACCCCCTCTTGCAGGGTCGCCCCCCGGACCTCATTTGCGACCTCATTTGCGACCTCATTTGCGACCTCATTTGCGACCTCATTTGCGACCTCATTCATTTGCGACCTCATTTGCGACCTCATTTGCGACCTCATTTGCGACCTCATTTGCGACCTCATTTGCGACCTCATTCGCGACCTCATTCACGACCTCATTTGCGACCTCATTTGCGACCTCATTTGCGACCTCATTTGCGACCTCATTTGCGACCTCATTCGCGACCTCATTTGCGACTTCATTTGCGACCTCATTTGCGACCTCATTTGTGACATGACTCTTCGACTCACCGCCTAGGTGCCTTCACCAGCTCTTCCCCGCGGCCTTCGGAGCATACAAGGCGCCTGACCATGTCCTGACCATGTCCTGGTTTTGTTAGCAGCCGAGGAGTGAGGGCGGGAGGGGGGAGGGGGGAGTGGCATGTTGCGAGGATTTGCAGCTCTGTGCATCAGAGCGTTGAAATCGGCTTGTCTCGGGAGAGTTGGGCTTCGAGCGCGCTAGCCGCAGCGCCCTGTTCGGATTCGGACACCATGGTGAACCTCAGGAGGGAGCGCTGCAACCTCATGTGGCAGATCCGTAATAACGCCATGCGCACCGGCAGCGGCAAGCCGGGACGCCCGATCACTCAGGAGGAGGACGCCATGACGGCAAGGGTCGCGCAAATCGACAAGGCGCGCCGGAGCAAGGTTACGGACTCCGTGGTGGACCGGCTGACGACTGTGGTGGGCCAAGCCGGCGAGGCGATTGTCGGTGAGATCAGGGAGGACAACGACCGCCAGACCGCCCGCGTCATGCAGAACAACGCGGAGCAGACGTCGCGGATCCTGGCCGACAATGCCGAGATCAAAGAGGCCGTGCAGGGCATCAACGAGGCATTGAACCTCATCCCCGTCGTGCAGAAGCACCGGAAGCGGGAAGCAGAAGATAAGGAGGAGATCGAGCGCGAGAGGGTGAAGCAGGCCAGGTACCTCGAAGAGAAGGAGAAGCTCGACAAGCTCAAGCTCATGATGGCCGAGCAGGAGAAGGCCACGAGCAGCGCGGAGGCTGAACGCGAGCTGGCCAAGCGGGCTGAGGAGGCCGAGGAGGCCGACGAAGCCATGAAGGCCTGGCACAAGCCAGCCAAAAAGGCCAAGCGCAAGGAGGCAGAGGCCATGACCCCGACCAAAAAGCCGCGTGGAGGTCGCCGCACCACAGAAGACCGTGGTGCCGAAGAAGGCGGTGCGATTGCCTGTGGGAGACGCCCAGATCCTCAGCAGTGACAGCAAGACCGCGATCCTGCAGTTGCCGGTGCCTGCGCGCGGACAGCGTGGCTTTTTCGAGACCCTTAGCGGGCTGGCGGAGCAAGTGACGATCCACACATCCTCTGACTCAAAGCAGGAGAATATCGTCTGGCAGCGCCCAGCTTGGAAGCCAGCAGAGCGCGGCCTTTATGATGGCCGAAACCTCTTGGATTATCGCATCATGACTGTTGTGACATTCCACATGGACGTCAATCGTTTCGCTCCACTCAATCGCTAGGGGTCCTCGTGCTCAGCATCGTGGCATGATTTTCATGAGTATCGCTGCAATAAGTCCGTGGCGGTGCGTGTGTACAGGGCTGGGTGCGGAACAGACCCAAGCTGAACGGCACTAGCGGGCACCCGTGGCTGCGAACTCTACAACTCGAGTTTCAGGTTGCGTGTCAAAGAGCTTTTGCGGTAGGAGTGCTTGCGGTAGGGGTGCTTGCGGTAGGAGTGCTTGCAGTAGGAGTGCTTGCGGTAGAAGTGCTTGCCGTAGAAGTGCTTAGCAGTGCACGGCAGGCTGACGCCTGCTTCCTATCGGCAGGGGCCTCGGCAGGAGCGTTTGTGGTCGGAGTGAATGCGGTAGGAGTGCTTGCGGGAAGGAGTGCTTGCGGGTAGGAGTGCTTGCGGGTCGGAGTGAATGCGGCAGGAGTGTTTGCGGGTAGGAGTGCTTGCGGGTAGGAGTGCTTGCGGGTAGGAGTGTTTGCGGTAGGAGTGTTTGCGGTAGGAGTGTTTGCGGTAGGAGTGCTGGTGGTTGCTTCGACCGACAAAGGCTTGGCCTGGTCCCGGATCCAGCTTCTTCTACCGGCCGCGGCCTTGTTTCGTGCTGCAGGAGCAGTAGGCACGTGCGTTCCAAAGAGTGCTGGCCGAATGTGTCCTCTCGAAAAGGTTTCCCTTCCTAGAGTTGCTCGCTTGCCGAATCTGTCCTTTCAAAAAGGGTTCCCTTCCTAGAGTTGCTCGCTTGCCGAACCATGTCGGGGTTTACACGCAGCTACTGCGAGCAAGAAATCTTCAACGCAGCAGTGCACCTCCTGCTACGCGATGATCTACCCAAGCTCACCCGGCTTGCAAGTCGTGTGTACCAAGACCCTGATGCCGCCCGCTGCATACGGCGGCTACGGCTGCTGGTTGATGGGCGTGGCGCCACCGGCCAACAGGCGATGAAGTGCCTGGCGCAGCTGGAGGCATCCGAGGATTCTTCAGAGATGGAAGGCGACCTGATCTGCACGGAGAAGCGGCTGCAGCACTGGCTGGCGGAGCTCCAGAAAGCTGCGCCGGACCCAGCGGCACCCGAGCCTGAGAAGCCGAGCGAGGTCATCAGCTTGAGCTTCTGTGGGCCCATGAAGAGGCAAGCCGAAGCGGCCGAGGAGCCGGAGCCCAAGCGGCAGGCCCTAGAAGACTTGCCTCCGCCTGCCATCGCCGTCGCGCCTCCCAGCAACTCCGAGCCACCCGAGGACTTCATGAGGAATGTGCAGGACAAGCCCATCTTCAAGAACTCGAGCCATGTGGGGGTGGATGGTTTTTTTGGGACAGTACAGCATTTTTGCAGTTTTTGGCCTAAAAACATTGGTTTTTTTGGGACAGTACAGCGTTTTTGCAGTCCCAGGCCTCGAAAGTGCTGTACTCTCCAAACTTTGGTTTTTTTGCTTTTTTGGGACAGCACAGCTTTTTTGCTTGTTCTGGCGTAAAAGGATTGGTTTTTTGGGACAGTACAGCGTTTTTGCACTTTTGGGCCTAAAACATTGGTACAGTAGAGCGCTTTCGTGCTTGCTGGCCTAGGAGGCTTCGAAATCCTAAGCCTCTAAACCCTACCATGGCACCTGAGAGGAAAAAGGGGGGGGGGGTACCAAACAAAAATGATTCAGCCCCGGCGGGCCCCCCCCCCCCCCCCCCCCCCCCCCCCCCCCCCCCCCCCCCCCCCCCCAATGGTACCCCCCCCCCCCCCTGTGGTGTGGTTGGGGGTTGGTTTTAGGGTTTTAGGGTTTAGGGTTTAGGGTTTAGGGTTTAGGGTTTTAGGGTTTTAGGGTTTTAGGGTTTAGGGTTTAGGGTTTACGGTTTAGGGTTTTAGGGTTTAGGGTTTAGGGTTTTCCCCGCGGATGGGGTACTAAGATGATCCCCCCCCCCCCTGTGGTGTGGTTGGGGGTTGGTTTTAGGGTTAGGGTTTAGGTTTAGGGTTCAGGGTTTTAGGGTTTAGGGTTTAAGGTTTAAGACTTAAGGTTTAGGGTTTAGGGTTAGGGTAGGTTTTAGGGTTTAGGGTTTAGGGTTTAGGGGTTTAGGGTTTAGGGTTTAGGGTTTAGGGACCGTAGAGTAGACTTGGGGGGGGGGGATACCATGGGGGGGGGGGGGGGGGGGGGCCCAGGACGCTCGACGCTGAACCATATATATATGTATATCTATGTAGGGATTGGAAAAGGGTGTGTATATATATATATACATAGGGACTATATAAGGTACCTATAGGGAGGCTCATGCCGAAAATGGATTCTAGTCCATGCTGCGAGTTTTTCAGGCTGCTGAAGCTCTTTGAGAGCAACAGGTTTAGGGTTTAGGGTTTAGAGCACCGGCTGCAGCGCCAGAAGGTGTCATTGTTGATGCAGGCATCCCAAGAGAAGGAAGGCTTTACCCAGCTTAGCCACATATCTCGAAATCCTGAGGTGGGTGCTACGGGGGCCCCCACCCCCATTCTTCAGGCGGGAGGAATTTCAGGAGAACACAGCAAACAAACAAACGATCACAGAAAATATGTCCAACTCTCAGAAAGCAACGCTAGCCCCAATCCAAGCCCCTGTAGTGCTGAGGCGGGCAGGGCGGGGGTGCACCGGCCTCCACCCCCACCCGTCCCCGAGACGGGAATGTCGGGGAGCGCCTCCCGGCATCTCCTTGAACTCCCAGACTAAGCAGACGACTTGGAATTTCGCTGGCTGTTCTGAACCGCAGAGAGCTTCACCTCGACTTCTAAACGCAAACACAAACCACATTGTATGTACAGGTTCCTGTCGCATGCATATATACATGTAGATAATAGGTAGCTTTTTAATGAGAATACAACTCTGAAAAAACAATAGCTGGTGCTTCAGGTTTATCCTTGCGCCCACCGATCGGATCGACCCTCAAATCCAGTCCTCAAGCAACGGGATCAGGGCTGTCTGTCCCCACTGCTTCCGCCGAGGCTTGCTGTTCCAAAGCAGCCTCTTTATCATCAGGACAATTTGGTTTTGGGGCTTCAAGCCTAGACGGTTGACCCTACACCATGAACCTTGGGGGCTCCACCCCCCCCCCCTCCCCTCCCCCCCTCCCCCCCCTCCCCCCCTCCCCCCCCTCCCCCCCCTCCCCCCCCTCCCTCCCCCCCCCCCCCCTCCCCCCCCTGCCCCCTCCCCCCCCCCCCCCCCCTCCCCCCCCCCTCCCCCCCCCCCCTCCCCTCCCCCCCCCCTTCCCCGCTCTTGGCTCTTGCGCTTCAAGGTCTCTAGGAGTGTGGCGTTCGGGCCTTTCGGCTTGGGGTTGAAGCTCTTCTTGTCTTGAAGTCCACATCACCCGCCTTAGCATAAAAATAGCAGAAAGTCTACCTGCAAGTGTCGGTCATCTAAGGCATGGGCCCTTAACAAAGGTCCCCTACCTCCCTCAAAGGGTTCGGAAGGATGGGTTTGTGGGGTCTTATAGGGTATACAAGGGGGTATATAGGTAAGGGCCCATACTACGGGACCATGCAAGTGCCCTTAGAGGCAAGAAGGCTGCTAAAATTTGTAGGAGGGTTCTTCAGATGCAGCTCCGGGCCTGCGCAGGAGCCTCCTGCGAGCAGCTGGCAGCAGGCCTCCAGCACGTTCTCACCGCGGTCGGTGGTTGGCTTGATATTGGGCTTTCGGAAAATGCCAATATGGTCAGGTGGCTGGTTAAGGGCTTCAGTGGGTAGTAGCGAGGTCCCTTGTTTGGAACAGGCCATCTTGGATTTTGCATGCAGTATCCTTCTCGAGCTCGTCGCTCCAAGCCCTAGCTTTAGCATGTTGAAGCTAAGGTTTTCTG